CATAGTCGGGTGATAATTCTCTGAGGGTTGGTTACTACAAACGACTCCTATACTTACTTACTTATATATTTACATGTCATCATTTGATCCATTTGTTTATGAAAAGATACTTTTTAGTGCAGCTTAAAGATACTTCATTAGAACTGAAGTACTACTAGATATTGCACGACGCAATTGATGCTGTAAAAGAGAATAAGGTATTTTCCCATGAACAAAGACACTTTAATTTTGTGCTTTTTGCAAATGCAAAATGAGTTACAGGGTATGGACACTAAAAGGGGGTAGACTGTAGGTAACATAAATAGATATTTTACCACTTTGGTGTACTTTGGTATCAAAAGGCCAGCCACTTTGGTAAATATGAGGATAAATGGACTTACATTTATATCAAAGAGCTTTACACAATGTCAACATTCATCCATTCACACACACGTTCATACACTGTTGTCAGAGACGGCCATACAGCGCTCGTTCACACCGCTGGCACAGCCAAAAGGGAGCAATTTGGGGTTCAGTATCACTGTCTTGAGACCCAGGCATTGGGATTGAATCGCCAATCTTCCGTTTAGTGTACGATTACGCTCTACCTCCTGACCACCGCCGCCCTGCATGCCCTGCCCAGTGTTTACTGACATCACATGGTTTCTGGTTATTGAAGTTGTTTAGACATTTGCCACTAGCCCCCACCAGCATATTAAGGTACCCGCTTTAGGCTTAAATATGAGAGGCCGTCCAAGGTCAAAAACAGAGAATCTGCACTTGATGTTAGTTATTTATTTGTTTTTCCGTGCAGAGGGAATAAACAGTTCAGCACAGGTGTACTGTGGGTTCCTTCGGTGTGCGAGCTAGGAATTTTAACTTTGAAATGGCAGGTGAGGGCAGCAGCTTCCTCTCAGCGTAGAACATCATGTCACATACCGGAGAGCTACTTCCTCTTCGGAAAAACATCAATATTTACCAGAATACACTGAAGCCTCTTAATGTAAACCCCCCTTTACCCACTGGCGTGTTTTTCTGTTCTAGTGCCAGTTGCATGCCACCAATGCCAGCTCTACCACATCTTTATTTATGACTCTTTTTTTCCCCAAATTGTCCTTTTTAGAGAGAGTACACCTCAGGGAGCATTTTTAACTGCAACCACTCTGCATTCCTCCTACTGGACCGGTGCTAGACTCCAAAGTAAAGTTTACATTCCTGGGCTGCTGGAAGGAATGCCGCCCTCTGGGGCTCTGGACCAGTCCTGAGGATTACAAGTCAGGGATCATGGACGGAGACCAGGATGCTCAGTTACAGGTACGTTTTCAAGATGTCAACAACACAGGCTCATTTACACAGACTTTAATGGTTTGACTTTGTGAGGCACTGATCACATCTATACAGACTTGGGGAGGAAAATACATGAATACCATTTTATAAGCGTTGATACTTTAGTGATAATTTAGAGTCACTTTGTCACTCATGTGAACTGTGACTCTGGGTGGCTCCAAAATGTCTTAAATGAACACTGATGATCTCAATTTTAATTCCGGAGTTAATGATTCTGTGTTAAAGTCTTGAAACAGGTATGATACTCTGTGATGAAACGGCTTAGTCGAGTATTCAGAAAGCCAAGATGAGGCTAAATTCAACAGAATCACGCTCACAATTCCTACAATTTAATGAACTGACTTAGCAACTTTCATATTACTTATCAGTACTCAGGATCGTGTGCTCTTCGGCTTCTAGTTCATGTCATGATTGTCCTGAAAGGGAGCCGACATCCTGTGGGCTTTAGCTAGCCCTAAAAATAGCGAGGACATCTGCAGCCATAAATACAGCACTGTAGATGTGCTGTAATGGAGAGGAAAGGAGAGGAGGGTAGGAAGAGAGTGGAGGATTCAGTTTTGACAAGCTGATTGTGAACACGATTTCAGCTGAAAAAATACTGTACTGTATAGCTATTATTTATCCATCGGATGGTTATTATTATAGGCTGATCGGCAGTCTGGAGCAGACAGGGGTTCACTGTCTCACTCAAGGACACTTCTGACTGATGGTCGCTGAAGGGATTGAAACAGAGCAGCCACTGAGCAGTCTAAACTTTGATCTCAGCTTATTAGCATGGGTCAGACCAGAAAGATCTCACTCGGGAGAGATCAAAGCCCTGAATGGCTGTGATAAAGGTCTAACAGAAGAAGCGCTTGGGTTTATTCCGTTGCTCAATGATATATGCATCATTCTAATAACACATTTACCCCTTGCATTATGTACAACTGAATTGCTGTGTGGCTATTGTATGATGTCAGGCACACCAACAATAATACCAGTTCAAGATAATGGCAAAACATAGTGGTATATATGGTGTGGACTTATGGGGGTTATGGTAAGCGCTCCAGCACTGCCCCCTACTGGCAGCATTACTCATATAAATTGGTCTTGTGTAACAAAAACATTACTCACATGTGTGAATCCATATCTAATCAACATACAACTGAAACACCACAACAACTAACAATACACTATTTCATGAGTCAAATTTATTATCTACCTTTAATGAAAGAGTTGTATCTTTCCCACTTTGTTAAGTGTTAACAGTCTATATATACTTAGACATTTGTATGGCATACTAATACTATAACATTTATATGACTTTTTAATGGAATACTATACGATGACTTTTTTTACTTTTTCGACATACTATACTATGACTTTTTCTTTTTACTTTTTTTGACATACTATACTCTGACTTTAAAAAAAAGAAAATTCTTCAAGATATTATACTGTGACTTTTTCTTTTTACTTTTTTTGACATACTATACTCTGACTTTAAAAAAAAAGAAAATTCTTCAAGATATTATACTGTGACTTTTTTTTTTTACTATTTTTGATACACTAAGAGGACCTTGGTGACTGTTTTCTACATGCTGTACCATGCATTTGTTTCAACATTACATTACATTACAGTGATTTAGCAGACGCCTTTATCCAAAGCAACTTACAATAAGTGTATTCAACATCGGTATTCAAGAGAACTACGAGTCACCAGAAGTCATAAGTGCATATCTCCTTTTTTAACAAGCATATAAGAGCATAAACCAGAGCAAAAGTATAACATAAAATATGACATATTATACGATGACTTTTTATAAAAAGAATTTGGCATACTAGACTATAACTTATTATATTACATTTTTATGGCATACTGTCCTATGACTTGTATATCATGACTTTTTTGAGCATACCATACTGCTACTATAATGCTATAGATCCCCATTAGCCTCTGCTTATGCGGTTGCTCATCTTCCTGGTGTCGCTTTTAAGGTGAAAATTACATATTTTGAAGACCTACTTTCAGATTACTAATGGAAAGGAAAACCAACAGCAAATAGTTATTTCCTCCAGTGTTTTTTCTAATGACGCAGGTTAAAGACAGTGAGCTCAGTTTTTGCCCAGATGAGTAACGTTTTCCAATTTATGTGCATCACAACAGTTTGAATCTTCTATGAACCCCCCCCTCCAGTGAGTACACTTTTTGCCATTATCTGTGATCAGCAGGAAAAACCAGTATCTGTGCCCCAGACACATAAAGCTGTTATTAGGAAGGAGACACACAAACAGGTTATTTTCAACCGACAATAAATGAAAATGTGTGTCATCTCAAAAACAACCCAATCATTGTCTATGTGTCTATCCACCTCAAACCAAAACTTCCTTTGCAGTAACTTTGCACCCGGTCAAAGTTTCCTCATCCTCCTCAGCTCTGACATTTCTGTTTGAAAGGAAAATCCTGCTCAGCTCTTTGCAGCAACCTGCTATTTTCTGTGTGTGTAACCAGCCCAAAAATACTCCCTGTCCTACCTGCTCAACTTGTTCTCTGCCCAAGTGATGTATTTACAACACTGTGTCCAAATCCTCCACATCTCCCTCTTTGCCAAGGAAACTTTTCCTTCTGCGTCACAGCAGTCTGTAACTTCCACATCTTAATCCAAGTCCAACAGTCCGATCTGACAGACACAAGCTACCTCCCGTCTGCTCCTTGATCTCATCCTCTGATGGCTGCTGAAACTTACTTTCTTCACTCTTTCTCAATATGGAGATTATATATATATATATATTTTTTTTTTTAAATGTTATAATATAGAAAAGTGATATTTTTGACATTGTATTTGCACATGTATGAAGGGGTTTGGCTCAGCCCCAGCAATTAATTTGGCATTAAGCTTCTCAGCTGCAGTCAGGTTTTAATAAGGTTTAATCTTAGCCTTGAGAATGTAAGCTGTTCTTGTATGCGCACAATGCTGAGTCAAGGCTGTTCTCAAGAAACAGGAAGCTCTTGCATTACAGGCAGATGCAGTTGATGACTGTCTTAACCATACAACAGCTGTTGCCAACATCAACAAAGCGTTATCACTTTGATCAAACAGTCCTCATTGGGCAACAAAGTTAAGCAAGAACATTATTTTTCCTTTCCATTTGTCCAAACATCCTATTTTCCCCTAGGAAAGTAAATTGAATGTTGTTTTCCAGCATCACACACACAATATACTGCATTGTACTGAAGCAGTTCAGTTAAATGTCTTGATCAGGTTAAGAAATAGTCATCTTAAGAAGACCATTATTCATTCATCTTCCCAATATATAGTCCGATCCAAACTCCTGACAAAGAAAGGTAATGACATTCAGTCTTTGTTTGTACACTCATCTAAATAAAAAAAAAAAAAAACAAATGTTATGTAAAGCGACCGGTCTACTGACTCTCAGCCAGACACCTGCCGGTCCTTCTCTCATTTCTCATTCTCTGTTTCTAGTGTCGGTGACAATTAGCTATTTGGAATTAGAGGAACACTGAGAATAGTCTTAATTGGAAATAAAGTAGCCTTAATATTGAAATAAAAGCTAATATAACATACTGTACTTTTATTGCAGAAACGTTTAAGGACTAGACTGGAGTGACATTCTTTGGGAAAAATAACGTTCAGTGATGATTCAAGTTTAATAAAAAAACATCAGAAAGGCATAAACAAATGTTCTCACTCACAATTTATTCAGCACACGGTAGGCAGCGTAATCTCAGTATTGAAAATATACATGCGATCATCATTTTACATATAGGTCAAATGGTTGTAGCAAATAATAATTAGTGTTTGCTGTCACTCACTTTACTTTCAGTTACATTTATGGTTCCTTAAGAATAAAGAGATGAAGACGGTTACTGTTGGTTGTCAGTCACAGAAAGTACTTAGTCAAGCCCCCACACAGGTGTTAATTCAGCCGATTAGACCTCTCCTCTGGACCATGATTGATTGTCCCACCTTTGACCTGTAACAAGCTCTAATCAGCCAGATAATTGAAAACACCTGTGTGGTGTGCATAGCCTTCAAAAGAAGCATAAAGTAGGGTCAAACAAACCACAACGCACACATTGAACTATTATTACATGTTGCACTTACATTCTTTGTGTGTGATCGTCTGCGATGTCGTCAATCTCTCTAAGATGATCAATTAAAAACAAAGGAGACGCACTACCTACTTAAATAAAGTAAGAACAGAATCGTATTACTTGGAATGACTGGTGGCAGTGGAGTGTATTACATGGTCCTAATCACAAGATTTAGTATGGGTACGTACTTCCTGATTCATCATTAGAATACAAGTACAGGACATGCATTTGTATAGAAATGAACAATACCTTTTAATTAATTATATTGCAAAATAAAGGAGGTGATAGATTTAAAAAAAAAAAAAAAGAAGGAATTGTCACTGAGAGCACTGCGTTGGAATAAGCTGAATGCAGCTTATTGCGTGGGTTCTTCATATCTGACTTGATGAAAGAAAGCAGCTGCTGCAACATCACTGATCTGAAGGTTTATCAGCTCTTACCTGCCTTGTGCAACTTGCTGCTCCATTGCACCCAGAAGCATTGTCTGTACTGTGTCTTAATAAACTTTCTGGTACAGAGACGCAGCAATACTCCACCTGTGTTCCCGCCTCACTCTGAAGATCAGGTGAGGACTAAAGCATTTAAGCTTTCCCATAAAGTTAACCGGTGCCAAACTCAGACACAAATAATTCAATTAAAGCTGGTTATAACAATAAAGCCCTCAACCCTAGTTTGGTTTTCACAGTGAAGGAGTGTGCAATCCTGTCAATGAGTACAGCTACGTCTTAAAACTGTAATCAAGTCAAATAAAAGGCAGACAGTCCGAATGACTCCCCTTGTGAGAGGGGTGAGAAAAAGAGGAAGAGGAGGGACGATGATTCATGCTTTGTCCAGGTTGATGACTAACCAGGAGAGGTGGAGGAGAGGAAGAAGAAGAAGAAGAAGAAGAAGAAGAAGAAGCCTTCATTGTTTGACAGAAGCCCAGATGATGAGTCCAATAATAACAACAACTACAACCAACACTATCCCCAGGATGCACATCTTCTTCCGGGATCTCCCCTGGGGGGGGGGGGGGGGGAAAAGCACAAAGAGGTTGTTTGTGTAATATACAAGTATTGGATACAATCTGGATTTTATTGGAGAGATGGATGGTTTTACTCAGGATTGAAGTGACTCACAACCACACTATGAATCCGATCACCTTGTGACTCAGCTTTTCCTTTCCTCCTGTACGCCTCTTTATCTACGTCTTTTGCCGAAGCAAACTTACTAAGAACTTAATCACACAAGGGAGTCCTTGTGCAGGAGGTAGAGGAGTCAAACATGCACATATATTGCTCCCTCAAAGAGCCCTAGAGCTATTACTCTTACTCAGATATATTAATTGGTCCACCAGTTACAAGCTAACTTCGCTAACATTTATACATTTGAATGACTCTCCTCTCTTCCTCTCCTTGTTCCTTTCCTCAATCCCTTCCCATCCTCTCTGTCCTAGTGAGACTTACCTGGTATTCTGCGGCACGTGACAGCTGCTGGGTTGCGTTCTGGACATTCACATTTGCAGTCTCCACATTGGCTTCTATACTGTCTGCAGAACACACAGGAAACACACAGATCACACGCAGCAGGTGGGAGGAAGAGGGAGCACATGTGGAACTAAGTAAATGTTTCAGTAAAGAAATCTACGAGCAGGTGTCAAAAGCTCACCTATCATGTCTCCCTGCTCATGGACCATCATCCCCAGGTCCTTGAAGATGTCATTGATATCTGTGATGTCCGACTGAGCAACATAGAGAGAGATGGTTCACGTGAAGCTGATGAGATACTGTACATATTAGTGTTCATGCTATTATAGACACTTGATTCTTATTTGTACCTCCAACTGCCTGATGGACGACTCTCTCTCCTGGATCAGCCTCAGATCTTCTTCAGTGATGGCCTCAGCCTGAGCCTGCACCTGGGCATCACTGCCGGGACAAGTGTAGATGAAATTGTAATAATAGTAATAACAAAAGGAAAGTATAATAACGATCAGAAATAGTGGACCTACCTAAAGGAAGCAGGCACATTTCCGAAGCTGTCATCAGGCTGTCCTCCCTGTTAAAGGAAATGAAGAAGTTTAAACAAACATACTGCGCTGATGTGCTAGTTATTGCAAATATACTGTAGAGGACGTTCTTTACTGCGACTGTGGGAACAGCAATGATACATTATGTACACGGTTCTACAAAACCTCATTATATATAATTAGATTAAGTATTAAGGAAACGGGTCCGAAAAAGGTTTGCATGGTGACACAGAGCAAATAAAACCTGGACTGTAGCTCCCATGCCGAGATATGTTCCTTAACAACCATTTAAAGCTGCTCCTGCTTATCAGCATGAACACAGCAGATACAGATACTTCTCTGTGCAGTGAGAACGATACAAAAGAACACTAATATGGCAAGACGTATTAAACCTTAGTGAAGGAAAATGTGTTTAAAACATGCAGCCTATGAACATGTATATATTGCAGCTTGTCTCCTAGACAAGATTAACTGTGGATAAGGTATGAAATTGTTTTTTGTGTGGTTCAGATACATTCTATCTGTTTGGTGACACATGCAAGCTGAATTTTCTTCATATATATATATATATTTATATGTTACAAATAATTATTGTCTATGGTGTAATTTTATTATGTTGGTTATTCTGTACAGATGACATCTATTGCAGGTCTGGCCGTCCCGGGATAGGGATCCCTCCTCGTTTGCTCCTCCCGAGGTTTCTCCCATTTATTTCCCTGCCAGAGGGTTTTTTGGGGGGAGTTTTCCATTATCCAAAGCAAGGGTCACAGGACAGACGTTGTCGTGTGTTGTAAAGATTGTAAGATTTGTGATATTGGGCTGTATAAATGAAATTGACTTGAGGGTCTGTGGGTTTTGTTTCATGCGAGTTGGAGCTGTTTCTTTTCTGTGTGCCGAATAAAAACCTTAAAAGTCGATTAAATTTCTGTGAATCTTACAATATTTTGGAAGTAGACAGCCTCTCCTTTTCCCTTGTATGCATCTGTACCTTTCAGAGGTTGGATGGGCATACTATCCATCCCTCCTAATATGTCTGTCTCCACTTATCAAGCTTTTGATGATATTAATGTGCAGAAAACCTGCTTTAATTTAGGAAGAAAACAAAGACACTTTTGACTGACATAGCATAAAGACAAATTAAAAAATGTGGCTCAATGGCTACTCACTGGTGTATGGATTATTGGTCACTAATATATCATTTAATCTGGTCTACACTCTGACCATGAGACCTTGCAGACACAGCAGATTACTCACAGACACCCTGGAGCTGGCTCTCACTCTGGCCACAAACTCTCTCTCTTTGTCGGCCGCCTGCCGCTGGGTCTTTTGGAAGCTGTTCAGGGCGGCGGAGAAGTCGTTCACCAGACGCTCTTTCTGTAACTTTCTCTGCCGCTAAAACACACATGGAATAAAAAGGTCACAAAACTTTACAAAAATTTGGGAAAATAACAAGTGTGGTACCAAATCAGTATCAAAAAGCGGGGAAATTGTGATTTTTTTAACGATAGTTGAGGAGAACGATAACACTTCGGTACCTGATCAGGGCCAACAGGAAGTGCACTGAATGCTTTGATCAGCCTGTCAGTATCCTTCGCTAGCTGGTTGCCTTGCTGCTGTTTCTGTTGCCTGGAGACCAAAGACATTTTATATTTATTTGTTGAAGTTAAAGAGAAACACCGTCAAGAAAACAGATTCCTGAGAGGAGAAGTGGTAGATCGTCCGATATCATGAGACCTGACTTTCAGTAGAAATCAAGAGCAGTTGATGTGTGAATTGTGTGTGTGGATCATGATCAACCCAATATATATATATTTTCACGATTGATCACTTGACAATCACTTTCAGACAGGCATGCTTGAAACTTTTTCTCCACCTGTATTTAAAACCAAGATGTTCGAAGTACACTAATAGACCAATTATGCAAACCAAGCCGTGCCCCCATTACTCACAGCGTCTGTGGCAGCTGGCCGCTGTCATGCTCCGTTCCCAGCCGAGAAACTGCTCTCTGCAGCTCCGAGGCTGGTGAGGAAGAAAGAATGCAGACATTGTTCATCTGTGCTAAAGTATCTCCACGTGTCCACCATGATTCACTTAGTGGAGTCAGTAAAATGTGTGTAATATGAAAGTTGTCGCTGATGATGATGCCTTCTTCTCTGTATATGTGTATGTCTGTGTGTGTGTGTGTGTGTGTGTGTGTGTGTGTGTGTGTGTGTAGTGTGTATATATTACTCAGCAGTGCCAGCTTCTGGATGTTGGAGCTTATGTTGTGAACCAGAGCACTGGGGTCCTCTAGCATCCCAGCCTGGTAGGCCATGACGGAGAGCTGTGAGGACACACAACACATTTAATCACCTCGTTCTATCACTCACTCGTCAGTCAGAGAGGTCTGTAACCAAAGTACTCAGTCACAAGTTCATCCAGATATTACACCTACACACGACTGTTGAACATCTCACTCCTAAACTGGGATGTTCTTCCACACCAAACGTTGAAAAGAATGCATTTATGGACCCCACTGCATGTACAGTTTAATGTCTAAAACAGCAAATGTTATTTAGTATGAAGGGTTTTAAAATGACGACGTAATGTTTTGTACATGGAGAACAAAACGCTGTACAATAGTTCAACCGGACTGACAAGCGCAGAAAAAGACAAATATGCCCCTGAACCACAGCTGGATGAAAACAGAAGAGATCCCCAGTCGTTGGTGAAAGAAACTGAAAGTTTAACCTAAAAATGTGTGCAGATTCCCACAAGTTCCTGTTTCAGTGCACAATAACACCTATAACTAGCGGGAATACTTGCTTGTAGGGTTAACAACACTATTTGAATACGAGTTGAACATAATGATGAATCACAGTTTAAATCCCTTCAATCTAAATACTGAGTAGACTGCAGAGGGCCCAATGAAAAACAGCTACCCAGAATATTTAGAGGCCAAATAGAAGCTCTGTTGTGGTTCAATACTGATTGAAGGTCACTTGTGCTTTTCTGCACTGGAAAACAAATTCAACATTGAAGGGTATTTGGGGATAAAATGTTCCAACAGTATTCTCCCCCGACATGTAAAGACTGTGGGGACATTGAATGAACACACGTTTTATTCCTTAACTCTTCGTCTTTTAAAGGTGAAGCTATTTCAAAACATAAATATTATATTTGGTGTCTGAATTATAATCTTTTTGTCTCTGTTAAAATAGTCCCTATTGAAAGAAAGGAGAAAAACATCAATATAAAAGATGTCCCCAAACTGTGTTTATACTGTATAAACCAATATATTGTGTAAACAGTGTAGATATGAGTATGTATGTACACACACACAGTATAATCCACATATCGGTGTTTAAGGAAAATAAATATCCGTGTGAGTTTAGCCACTGATTTGATCTGATCGTTAGTAAATATTTTGTCTATAATGAGTCAATTTGAAAACCTTAATCACAAGAGGTGATTGAGAATGCATGAGATCTAGTTAGCAGACCAGCAGAGAAGTTGGATTACTCAGTTAGCTGAAAGTAACGGATGAGGGATTTAAATCGTTAGATGAAAAGTCAATTATACACAGATTACTTAAAAACAAAAAAAGAATGGATGAAAAATAAAGGATAGACAGTTAAAAATATTTAGTTAAATATGAAGAATAGCCAAAGCAGTTGAAACAGTAAACGAAAAGTAAGAAGTATTGACTGAGATGTAGCACTAAGAAACTCCCCTTAACTGGGACTATATGGGCTTTCCCCACCGACCGTCCCATATATACCTTAACGTGTGTCAACTCCAAATGCAATCTGTAAAACATGTTCTAACTGGGCTCTTATTTACTGTAGATAAAGTCTAATATTGTGGCAGTAATGTTGACCATAACCCAGTCAAGCAGACTTCCTGTACTGACTCAAGAGGAAACCATAGTGGGCTATGTGCATGTAATCCAGCCCTGTTATTGCTATGAGAGGGACTAAGGTGCATGCTTCCTACTTCAGCACATTTAAACATTAGATCATGACTTCTACTTTAATGTAAACATCGTCCCTGTCTGCCTGCTTGCCTGTGTGTGTGTGTGTGCGCGTGCGTGTGCGTGTATTTGTCCACAGTAGCTGCCAGCGAGAAAAAATGCGGAAATCACATGACTTTACAAATCACAAGAAGAGTCGTGCACGATAAATGATCCCTATTTACGAATAAGCCACGAATACTATTTACGGTAAAGTTGTGTTAATGTGACCTGAAGTCATGTGTTGACTGAAGCGGCTGGTCATTAAGTTACAATCAAAGTCGCAACACAATTTGAAGATTTGTCTCTCTTGCTTTTTTTCGGACAACATATCGGTTCAATGTCTTTGTTCCTAACAATTAAAAACGGCATTATAAGAATGCTGTTAGCATGCTTGTCCGTCGGGATAATTAAATCATTCCTAAGTGTTCAGCTCAGTCGAGTAAGAGTTTAGACTTTACCTTTCCTGTGACTTGCGACAGCGGTGTGTTTCCTGATTCCGGGCCCCTCCCCCGTCACATGATGTCTGGCAGCGAAGCCAAATCACTGGAAGAAGAAATAGATCTCATAAAGGAAGGTTTGTATTAAAGCAGTGAAGAATATCACATGACTAGTATTTACTTGCAGGCTTCTGTACTTGAGTTGTTCCATTATATGCAGCTTTATACTTACATTACACACTTATTTACATAACATATACACAAACTTGTGATTGTTTTCGTTATAAAATATGATGCATTCTTGTAGATTAAAATACCAAACAGTATACTGGTGCTTTAAATTAGCTCATCTTTAAAGCTACAACACGAAATGCAGATTCAATTTAAATGCATTACTGCATTTACATATAATAATAGAACACTCTGAAAGGATCGTTCTACATAACAAGTACTTTTATTCTAAGTAATCTTTTACTAGTACTTGTACCAGAGTATTTTAATCTGATAAATTGCTCATAGAGGGTATTTGATAGGCTGATTCCAGTAGTTTAATATTTAATTTATTAAAAATGTACTACTTTTAGGTAAACAAAAGAAACAGAATTGTGGATTGCTCCTGGCAGTGTGAAGAAAGTTGTGAAAAGTGACGTTATGCACTGATACTAACACTGATAGCATTTCCGATACTGACTCAAATAGCTGAATTGAAGAGGTCGATCTGGTATCGCATACCATTATTTAAAAGCCTAACCAGTCACTGCATTCATAGCTATGTATTTATTTGTTATATTTTGTTTAACAAAGTTATAAAGGCACGGTTACATCAAGCCTGATGTTGTCTTACACATCAGAATCAGAATCAGAATCAGAATCAGCTTTTTTGGCCATGTATGCTTACGCAGACATGGAATTTGTCTCCGGTTTCCACTCCGCTCTCAATGTACAAACACAAATTTACAATAAACAAGACAATATATATATAAAGAATAAAAAAGGGCAGCAAAAAAAGTAGAACGGATGTAGGTATAGACATTTAGCTATATACAATATAAGTATAAATATATATTCAAGAGAAAATGTGTATATATATATATATATACATGTGAACATGAACCTATAGACAATGGCATGAATTATAAGTGGTGGTAATAGTGCAGTATAACTTATTTATTGTTCATGAGAGTGATGGCCAGTGGAAGGAAGCTGTTCCTGTGTCTAGTGGTCTTGGCGTACAGAGCCCTGTAGCGTCTACCAGAGGGGAGGAGTTGGAACAGCTTGTGTCCAAGGTGTGAGGGGTCTGCAGAGATCTTTCCAGCCCGTTTCCTGACTCTAGAGGTGAACAAGTCCAGGATGGAGGGCAGGCTGGAACCAATGATCCTCTCTGCAGACCTGACAATCCGTTGCAGTCTGTTCCTGTCCTGTTTGGTGGCTGATCTGAACCACACAGTGATAGAGGAACAGAGAACAGACTGGATGATGGCTGAGTAAAACAGGATCAGCAGCTCCTGAGGTAGGTTGAACTTCCTGAGCTGGCACAGGAAGTTCAACCTCTGCTGTGCCTTTTTCCGGATGGTGTTGATGTTGGAGGCCCACTTCAGGTCCTGGGAGATTGTGGATCCCAGAAACTTGAAGGTCTCCACAGCAGACACAGTGTTGTTGTGTATGGTGAGGGGGGGCAGTGTTGGGGGGCTCCTCCTGAAGTCCACTGTCATCTCCACAGTTTTGACCTTGTTTAGCTCCAGGTTGTTTTGACTACACCAGAGGATGAGCTGTTCAACCTCCCACCTGTACGCAGACTCATCACCGTCCCTGATGTGGCCGATGACCGTTGTGTCGTCTGCGAACTTCAGGAGCTTGACCATTGGGTCCTCTGAGGTGCAGTCGTTGGTGTAGAGGGAGAAGAGCAGTGGGGAGAGCACACAACCCTGGGGGGCGCCAGTGCTGATAGTCCGGGTGCTAGATGTGATTTTTCCCAGCCTGACCTGCTGACATAACAACTGCTGTCATGTGTATGTCTAGCAGCAAACAGTGTTTCAACATTGAGCTTCAAACAGGTTAACCACACAGATACACAACATTGTCCCAGTTCCTGGTAATCCAGGTCAGCATTACTTTGCAGACCAAAAGCCAGTCAGAGTTTTCAGGTCAAAAACACGGGTCCAGAACCTGTGTTATCTTCGTCCTTTGAACATTGAGGGTCTAAAAATTGGTACCTTTCTCTCAGTGAAAACAGTGGTGATCAACAGATGTGGATTTACCAATGTTGACCAACAGGACATTGCTCTTTTCTTGTTATCAGTCAGCAGAACAGATCGTTGGGTTTTCATGCAGGTTAAATGAGTTTAAAAAATGTGTTACTTTTAGATTTAATC